ACACACGGATACACATAACACCAGAAAGTCCCTGAAATATGCTTTTTGAAAGAAATGAAAAATAGAGTGGAGGAAACTGTGTTGATAACTTCCACTGACAAGAGTCCTACTGCCTCCCCTATATCCCAGGATTATCTGTGGGCCATGAAAACAATCCAAGGACACAGGGATAATTCCAGAATATCGGGTTAAAGACAGTGGTATGCTTCAGCGACAAATAAGATGACAAGTCACGTATCTATAAACTATTTGAAACCTTGTCCTCCAAGGCAAATTTCTGGAATTATCAAAGCCAGAAGAATAAGCCAGAAGAATTGGATAAGCATAACACCTTTCTTATGATTTATATGCCCAGTTAATTATTTAGCAAAAACCTAGGGGGTACTGAATATGTTTTTGTCACTGTCCTTGGTGCTTGGATGAATGCTTAAAAATCTGTCACTGTAAGTTAAAGCTCTAAAATAGTATTTTAAGCACATTATAAAGTTAAGCACAATATTATATTATTTGGTAAAAATGTTTATTTTTATGAGCTCTTTCTTTCCCCAAAAGCTCCAAACAATTACACATTCATTGCTTTGTTTCTTTCCTCCAAATGAGACTGTTCACCAGTAATAAGATAGTTAAAAATTCAGATTTCACAACGGAACTGGGGTGGTACCAAATTCCTCTCTGACTGTAGCAAAATTTATTGCAACTCTGAAAGCTCTCTGCCAATCACAATTATAATCATGAAACTGAACTAGTATTGCAGGTCATATAACCAAGTCTTCAAGGAGAGGATGACAAGATGGATAGGAATTTAATGGATTTATGGTATTAGACAATGAAGAAAAATACCTATCTGGACTAATCATAAACTTTTCTTTAGCTGCAATTAACCTCATGTTGAAATACTATGTGGCGGCTATGTAACTGATAGCACTTAAGGAAAGCAATGAATGTGTAATTGTCTGGAGCTTTTTGGAAAAAAGAGTCTCTTGAAAATGAACACTTTCACCCAATAATACAGCATTGTGCTTATATTTAGACTGTGCTTAAATATCATTTTAGAGCTTTAGCTTACAATGAGAGATTCTCAGGCATTAGTCCTAGCACCCAGGACAATGACCAAAAGAGATCCATTGCCCCAAAAAAATTTTGAAGATTTTCTAAATAATTAACTAGACATTTAAGTCATAAAAGTATCATGCTTATTCAATCGAGTAAAATTTGAAATGTATATTTAGCAACAGAATGAAATCTAAAGTTAAAGGACTAGACAATAAGCTCTTTAAGAGAAGTGATTTTATTATTTGTTATCATTATTGTAGTTTTCTTTTTTTTCTCTTAATTGTACATCCACCACATAGCACAAAATGGAAGCATAACAGTTACTTAAATAGTTGTTAAAAGTATATTCAGTAAATAAAGGCATTCCAGATACTGTCTCCAGTAAAAATAGTGCCTGATCCCTCACCAAACCAGGTCATCTACCTTCAGTTACCTTCCTTAGCAAGTATTTCATCCTATAACAATCAGAAATTTTATTCTACCAGAGTGGGGAGGAAAATAATCAGTTAAGTTTGGGCAAATGACTGTTTCACCATGAGATTTTACTTGATTTCCATGGTATTTCTACATTCTTCATCTTGTGTTCTTTTCCTGATGTTTGATCCTAGCTGCTTGGGTGAACTTACCCATGGAGTGCTTGAAGGGTATTACCTCTTAATTATCTGCTGTCAAGCTTTGAACCCACAGTTTTCTTTGACCTAGATATACATATGTCCTCCATGTTAACTTACCCCTTCAGTGTCTCCTCTCGGTCTCTTTCTCCCTTCTCAACCTTATTATGATCCATAATTGTCTTTAAAATCACAGATCATGGTAGAGCATTTCTGATCTTGTACAACTTAACAGAAATGAAAAGTGGAGATCTAATAATATATATTATTGATACATGCATAGTTTCAGAATACATTACTTGATTATCTTAGTTTGGGTAGATAGAAATACTTAACTGGTAGGCTTGTAAATTTTTTTTAATTAAAAAAGCTTTATTATTAACTATGGAAATAAGCCCATAAAATGCATAATGGAATTCAGAAAGCATAGAGTCAAATTTGTCAAACAATTTGAATGTTGCATATAAGCTGAGTTTGGATTTAATACTTACATTTGCTATTTTCATGTGTGAGTGTGTGTGTGTGTGTGCGTGAAGTATTGTTCTAATTTGGAATGTATAGTGCAATACATCATGGAGTGACCATATAATTTCTTGTCCAAACTGGGACATTTTTGAGAGTGAAAAGTGCATAGGGAATAATTATACCAGGACAATAGGCATAAATTGAGATGGTTCTGAGAAAACCCGGATGTCTGGTCACCCCTAAAAAAGTGACTGGAGCTCATCATCACAGAACTGACAGACACCTGAAGGTAACCTGCTTGTGAACCTGCACCAGAGAAACTGGCCCACATGTAGCCAGATTGTGAGTCTTCAGTCTGGGAGAAATTTCGTTTAGACTTTAGTGGTGTTTTGTAATCTGTTTCCTAGAGATCTGCCAAACTAGGTTGACTGCATGGATCCTTAGAAATTATCCATCTTGAATTGTTTGGTATAAAAATAGATTTTATAAGTCACAAGGCAGATATTACAAGATTTCTATGAAAAAGAAATAAATAATAGAAGTATAAACCTACAAGAATGGCAAAGCAAGGGGGCAAATGACTGTTAGAAATACTGGCAAAGACAGCAAAAATGTACAGTTAGCTAATGACTACATGAATATAAATATGGAATATTGATTAAGTTGGAAAATTAAGCCCTAAAAGGAGTTTTCCATCACTGTTTTAATATCTAGGTTTTTGGTCATTTTCAAAACCAGGAGTTGAAGTGGGATCTAAGTTATCTTGGTGATACAGTTTGGATGTGTGTCCCTGTCCAAATCTTATATTGAAATGTAATTCCCAATGTTGGAGGTGTGGCCTGATGGGACGTGACTGGAGGATGAGGGTGAATAGTTTACTAAACCATCTTCCTTGGCAATGTCCTTTCAATAATGAGTTCTTGTGAAATCTCGTCATTTTAAAGTGTGTGACACCTCCCCGCCTTGCACATTTTTGCTCCTTCTTTCACCAGGTGACGTGCCTGCTCCTCCTTCACCTTTCACCATGACTATAAGTTTTCTGAGGCCTCCCCAGAAGCTGAGCAGATGCCAGCATCATACTTCCTGTACAACCTGCAGAACCGTGAGCCAATTTAACCTCTTTTCTTTATAAATTACCCAGCCTCAGGCAATTCTTTATAGCAATATGAGAACAGCCAAACACACTTTAAGTTCTTAAAGATATGCACCATCTGTAATTTGCTTGTCTGCACCTAAAACCTCTTAAAAAGCAGATTCTTACATCTATCTTTCTGTCCTGAGTACAGATAGTTTTTTATTCTTGTGGTTTAAGGTATTGGGTAGCTTCCAATATCCCCATTTTATAGTCTACTTTCCCTGTGTGATACCCTTCCCATCTTGCCATGGTTAAGATGTATGAATATGATAGGATAATAATTCCCTTGATTGGGTAACATTATTTGACAAAAATAATGGAATAATCACTCCCACAATGAACTTACTGGAAAAGCTGATTTTTTATAAGCTTAGTGTAAAGACCAAATGGGCTTGCTAGAATCTTCTGAATTGAATGAAACCTCCCAGGCACATGTGGTGGCTGGAAAACCACAGGCTATGGCATGATTAAAGTGGAAAGGAGCAGAAATAACACAGTCTGCACACAACAAATCCCAGAGAGCCAAGAGCTTCATTGAGCACACTCACAAACTTTCCCAAATTCACCAATCAGCTAGCTCTTTAAACTCACCCTCTTGATGAAAAGATGAGCAAAGAGGCAGAAAGGCAACTCTAGGTGAGCTGCCTCTATATATAGAAGAGGCAGGGGAAAATGTTTCTCCTCCAACAGAGAACCAGGGATAGTCAATGTCCTGTTTCTTCATCTTAGGTCTAGCTAACTTAAACATGTCTCCCACCGAGTGAAGACAATGTAAGGCTGAATGGAAAACTCTTAAATAAAGCAAACTTTCAACTTTATAATAAAGCAAACAACCTAATTTTTAAAAAGGGCAAAATATTTGAAGATATTTCACCAAAGAAGATATCTAAGTGGCCGATAAGCCACTATGTGAGATACACTCACATTCAACAGTTATGAAGACTAATTTCCTTAGTCTAACTAAGGAAATGAAAACTGAAACCACCATGAAATATTAATACATTCCCTAGAACAGCTACAGTTAAAAATCTGATAATACCCAGTGTTGACAAACATGTGCAGCATGTGGAAATCTCATATGCTACTGGCTGGATGCAAAATGATAACAACACTTTGGAAAATAGTTTGGCAGTTTCTTATAAAGTTAAGTATATATCTACCTTAAAATTCAACAATTCCACTGCTAGATACTTACCTGAGAGGAATAAAAACATATGTCTCACATGAAAAGTTGTACATGAATGTTCATAGTAGCTTTATTCATAATAGCCAAAAGCTGGAAAGAACCCAAATTACTATCAGCTGGTAAATACACAAATTGTGGTATATGCATATAATACAATGCAGACTACAAATACACACAACAATATATTTGAATTTTAAAAGTATCATACTAAGTGAAAGAAATCCTGGGTGAAAGACCATATACTTTCTATTACATAAAATTCTCTAATAGGTAAAACTATAGTGACTGAAAACAAGTGAGACGTAGTTAAAAGCCAGACATAGGGATAAAGGGTTGACTGACTGAGAGCACAGGGAAATTTTCGGGATGATGGAAATGTTCTATATCTTGATGTTGGGGGTTGCTACCTGTTAAATTCTCATGAGACTGATACTGTCTCAAGTGAGTAAATTCTATTTTACAAAAATTATACTTCGATAAATCTAATTTATAAAGAAAACGCTGTAAAGATGACAATTTTGGTTTGAAGATTATTTAACTATGAGGATACTGAAGAGTGATGAGCAGAGCTGCTGCACATGGTTGTGTAAGTTGTGTGTTTTCGTAACTGCCCAGTGAAATGCAGACGCTCAGTCAGAATCTGAGTAGTACCAGCTGTCTGCTGGCGTGCATCATTTTCCTCCTCTTGCCTCATCCAGAACAAGGGCAGAGACCATACAAATCCTGATTCAGTAATTAAATTGCCTTCTAAGGTTTTAGTTAAGAAAGCTCATCCAAAAAAGTTCAGAAACTTCAACAAAGTACCAGATCGTTATTAATGCGATCTCCAGTAGAAAGGAGACCAGAGAAATATTAATACAGGTAGTAGAAAATTCCTTGTTTATCTGCTTCATACTCTTTTTCTTGTATACCACACCTCCCCTATGTTGCAATTACCCAGTTCACTCAGCATAAATTAGGTATGATATTGTCCTTACTCTTACCCCAGGCCCCAGGGGTGGGCTTATAACCCAGGCCCGGGCAGAGTATTTCAGCCCTTTAGCTATGATATTTGATTCATGGAAGGTCATGTGACCCAAGCAGGCCATCAGGACATTGTGAGGTAAAAAGACTGTATAAAACTTAAACTCTTGGTAGCTTTCTTTATGCCTCATAGAAAGAGCCTGCCTGGGAATATAGCCAAGAGCTAAAAGCAAAACTGAGAGATGAAAACAAACAGAGCCCTGACAATACATTGTGGGCATTGGAACCCCACCATGCAGGGACTTTACAGTTACTACAGCCAATATATGTTTCTCTTATGTTTAAACTAGTCTAAGTTTCCATCATATGTAACCAAGAGTGCCAATTAATAGTGAACAAAGGCTATAGGAGACTTTCTAGGACAGAATGAAAAGTAAAATATAAAAAAGTTTACTCAAATTTTTTATACTCAAATTGTTTTTAGCCTTCTCGCTCTCTCTCTCTCTCTCTCTCTCTCTCTCTCTCTCTCTCCCCCCCCCCACCTTCCTCCCTCCCTCCCTCCCTCTTTCTCTCCCTCTTTCTTTCTTTCACAGCATCTCATTCTGTCACCCAGGCTGAAGTGCATGCAGTGGTATGATCTTGGCTCACTGCAAATTCCACCTCCCAGGCTCAAGCGATTCTCCAGGCTCAGCCTCCCAAGTGGCTGGTACCACAGGCATGTGCTACCACGCCCAGTTAATTTTTATATTTTTTGTAGAGATGGAGTTTTGCCATGTTGGCCAGGCTGGGCTTGAACTCTGGAGCTCAAATCAATCCGCCACCTCGGCTTCCCAAAGTTCTGGGATTACAAGTGTGAACCACCATGCCTGGCCTAGTTTACTCAAAATTATAGGTAGTTGATGTATAGAATATTGAACTGAAGTCAAGAGCCTCACCCTAATCCTAAAATTACTACTGACTTATTTTGTAACACGGAATCAATATCTCAATCTGTGTAGGAGCAGTTGTCTTATATCTAAAATGAGAACGTTGAGTTAATCCACTTTGAGCTCTCTAAATGTCACAGGGACTTCATGGATGGCAGAGCTAGAGCCCTAAAAATGTTAGTGCTAACAACCATCCTCCAAGGCTTCCCAGTAATGTTATCAACTATTAATAAGCATAGATTTTGTTTTATAAGCAGTAGAAAAGTTTTGGGTCTGGGTGGGATGAAAATGTGCATGGCAGTATGAACACTGAGACTTCTTCCTGGGATTTCACAAGCCATGTTAGAGGGAAGGGATAAAACAGGAAAGAGCAACTGGGGAAGATACTGCCTGGTGACTGCAGGGTGTATGTTTTTGTGGGAGGTACTCTTTCAGGGACTCAGAAAAAAAAAAAAACTGAGGTATATTTCACAGGGAGTGAGGAAGAGAGATATTTGTGGCAGTTAGGCCAGTGGTGACTGAACTTTGATACAACTTCATTTAAAAAGTGAAATATAAAAATATGTTCAACTCCACTCATAATAAAATTGGGAATTAAAATTATGCTGAGATAATATTTTTAACATCTTTGTTATTCAATTAAAAATCACTCTTTCAGCATATATTTAGGGCACCTTGAATCTCTATACTCATAGTATGAAGGGAAAGAGAAATCACCTTAGAACCTAGCAGCTTGAAATAACAATGGTTTACTATTTCTCATGATTCTGAGAGTTGATGGGGCTCAGCAGAGTGGTTCATCTGGAGGTGGGGGCTGGGCTATAGTCGTCTGGGTACCTGAGTAGGCTGGAGCACTCAATGGCCCATTCATCTGACTGTTGGCTGGTTCTGACTGTAATCTGGCAATTTATCTGGGACTGCTGACTAGAGCACCTTGGTTCTCCTCCATATGTCTTCTCCATATGGGCTGGACTCCTTGGTGTCTCAGCTCCACAGGGGTAAGTGTTTCAAGCTTGAGAAAGCAGAAAATGCAGATTTCTTAATACCCTTTCATAACTTCTGAATTTTGTACCATATGATTTTATTCTTATTAAAAATAAGAATACATTTATATTTTCTTAAACACTGAGACATAGAAATTCTACTTCTTAGCATAAACTCTAGAGAAATATAGATCCATTATAAAAGAAGACAAAATTAGAAATGTTATTATTGTAGCCCTGTTTGCTACAGTATAAAAGAAAAAGGAACTAACATAAATGTCTACCAAGAGTAGATGGCCAATAAATCACAGTGTAGCCATATTATAGAATGCTATACAAAAGTTTAAAAACTAAAAGTTATATACCTATTAACATGAAAAGATTTCTAAATGATAGTGTTGCATATTAAAAACTCAGAAAAAATATTAGGAATTCAATTTAAAAAATGATTAAAAATAAATATGCATATACATGTATGCATACATGTACAAACATAGCACAGAAAAGGATCTGAGAGTTCTAGGGAGCTTCGGTGTCTCTATGGTTTCCTTTTGGCAATAAAAATAACATTTTTATTACATGTATTATTATATATTAATGGAATTAAATTAAAAAGAAAGTCAACTTTTGTCTCAAGATGGTAGAGTAGACACTCTCAAACAATGTCTACTGTGTTTGTCTTCTAAGGCTCTTTCACTTCTTGTTCTACAAACCTCACCCCACTTGACTAAAATACATGATAGAAAGATATAAAAACAGCTAAAGCAAACAGTAGAGTTAAATAGAATGTAGTAATAAGTAACAGGGAGGAAGATTAGAGAAAATGGCTAAATAAACACAGAATAACACCATCACTTCCACTACCAAGATACCATGTAGTTTGCTAAAATGTGCTGTAAAAAATAATTATTTTATAGAAAGCAGTATATGTGATTCAAATCAATGAAACATGGGCTCATTAGCTGTCCTTCACATATTCTTGAAAAAAATTTAAAGTCCATTTTCCAATAAAGGGGAGATTGATAATGTGCTATAAACTGTCATAAGGAATTCTCACTGAGTTGTAATGGATCTGAAAAAAAATATACCTTATTCTACATTTACAGAAGCAGTAGAGTGAAGTTTTCCATTTCCTCATTAATTCATTCAAAGACAGGTCCTGAGCTTCCACGTGAGACGCACACATCCCACAGAGCCTGTAAGAAGAGACAGACATTCAAACAATTACAGCAACTGTCTGGGAATATGGCTGGTAGACCACTTATCTGGACTTAGGAGAGGCATAAAAGAATGATTAAAAGTTCCTAATAATATTGTCAAATCTAATATTTTGAGTCCTTACTAAGTGCCAGGCACTGTACTGTAAGTTTTACATACATTCATTTTTTGATTCTTCCATAATTCTTATAATGTAGATACTACTGTTATTTTTTTCAGTGAGGACTCCGCTGGTTAGAGACTTAAGCAATTCCTTCCAGTTCATGCAGCCAGTCAGTAGTGGAGACGATATTCCAGCTCATGACTGTCTGGCCTTCATGTCTTAACTTTTTCCAAGATTCTTACAGTATTGCTGGCCAGCTGGCTCTTGAAGAATTAGTAAGAAGGCATTATGCTAGTGTGGGGAGGCATAAAAGAAGGTCGTATCTTTCAAGACCTACTGGTGCTTTAACTTGGCCGAAACTCAGGAGTGGAAAGTGGCAGGACATAAGGCTGAACACAGAAGCATTGGCTGAGCCATAAACGGCTCATAAGCCAGTACAGAAATTTAGGTCTTATTGTATAAACCATAGAAAGATACTGAAATGTCTCTGGGAACAAGTTAAGTCAAAGATCATAATTCTTGCAGCATAGAGTGCAAATTATTCTAAAGGTATTAGAAAAGCAAAGAGATCATTTAAGATGTTTCAAAGAGTCTAATCAAGACATAAAATGAGCTTGAACCAGTAAGAGTAGAGACAGGGTCACAGTAAGAGTAGAGACAGGGTCACTATGAAAACTGTCCTGTGGAATCCATTTGTTGCCATCCTTTTGAGAGAAAATAATAGAATCATGCTGAATAAAACTTACGTATCAAGGCACCAAATGTACTGTGTTATTAACATTCACATTCCAACCCAGTGGCCACGGCCAGTATGTTGCTATTTCCTACCCGATTTTAATTCCTGGACCATTGACCCCAGTCCCTGAGAAATTCCTGTGTTAACACAGGGCTGAGAGAATGTTGATTTGAGTTGTTAGGATTTCATAGCTCAGAAGAAGATTGAAAGATAGAGTGCAGAGTTAATGGATTTTTTCAGCAACTTTCTAAATATAATGTATGGTCTTTGCTAAATAGTACCTTGTTTGCTAATGTATTAGCCAAGGTTCTCCAGAGAAGCAGAATCAATAGGATACATAAAATAGGAATTGGTTTGCACGATTATGAAGGCTAAAAAGTCCCACAATCTGCTGTCGGCAAGCTGGAGGTCCAGGAAAGCCACTGATAGTGTTTCAGCCCAAGCTCAAAGGCTTGAGAACCAAGAGAGCCAATTGCGTAAGTCTTGGTCTAAGTCCTAAGTCCCAAATCCCAAGTGCCAGAAGTGTCAGTCCAAGGCAGGAGAAGGTGGATGTCACAACTCAAACAGAGAGAGGAGAAAAATTCCCCCTCTGCCTTTCTATTCCTATTGTGGACCTCATTGAATTAAATGAAGCCCATCTAAATGAGAGAAGGTCATCTTTTTTATTCAGCCTACTGATTCAAATGCTAGTCTCTTCCAGAAACAATCTCACAATATTCCAAGATAATGTTTTACCAGCTATCCGGACATCGTTGACCCCAGGCA